TACACACTAACTACACAAGATTTGCGCTAAATGTCGCAAATCTCTCACATCTCAAAACACCGCCGTCACTCCTAAAACTTCCCTCTTCCTAAACAGCTAAATGCCATTTTGCCATATCATTTTTTGATTGGGCGACATGGTACATTTTTCCACCAATAGGAAAGGCTGGGGTTTTTTTGGTCTTGTTTTTGCTCACAGGCGGAGAGTACTTTTGAGGCTTTCCTTATAAAAGGCTGTTTTTACCGTTTCTTCCTGCAGTAAATATAAACAACGATAGTATTCAGGAAGAAAACCAAACATTGCATATATTTAATTTAAAATTCCTTGTGCTATATTTTCAGTCTCAGATTTTGTGAAAAAAATATTTATTCACAGATAATAACATCTGTCGCCTTGAGGCAACTTTTGTTGTGATTTGGCGCTATATAAATAAAATTGAATTGAATTGAATTAGATAAATACAAAAACGTTAAATAAAATTGATCAAATCAAAGCATTATCTACATTTTCAGTACTATATAAACATTCAGTCATGATACTGTATTATACATTTAAACTCTACCGATACCAAGTTTTCAATATCAGCCACTATGACCAAACCCAATCAAATACACACATTATTTAAAACACCCAGAATAAAATCTTGTTTATATTCTCAGGACATATTTCAAATAGTAATAGTATAATATTTTGTAGTAATGAGGAGATTTAGATACTTACAGTGAATGATGAGTTTGGTTCCTCCACCAAAAGTCCACCACAGTGACACAAACTCATTAAGTGGCCGTACAAAAACCTCCCACTCTGATCAAGCATCTAACCACTGAAAATTATGTTTTTTCTCCTCAGTAAACTTCACAGTTTAGAAAATATTTGGCATAAAAGTGTTTGTGTTCAAATTGCTTTTTAAAAAAATAATTTATGATCATTTTCATAATTTTTATTGATCTAAAAAGTAAAATATACACTTACCAACCAATCTGCCATTTTAATCTAGATGTTGAAAGTTTTGATGTATTTTCCAGTATTTTGTTAGGATCAAAATCATCTCATAATAATTCATTTAGATATCAAAAAGTATTGCTTCTCACATTGCTTTGTTGTTTGTTGAGAGCAGAGAAAACATTTCCATAGAGAGGAGGCTTTGCAACGTCAGCTGATCCTCCAGAGAACTGAGAAGGTTTATAGCAGAAACCACAACCACCTTGACTCTTCACCATCCTCATAGGTGCTGGATTGCTGCATTAATGGTCAGGATTACTACTGGACACCTATCCTGCACAAGGCATTCAGATTCATATCTGAATATGAAATATATATATATTTTTATATTTGTGGAATTAATCCAGAAAGATTTCAGTTGAGTCTGTCCCTGTGTGTTGGCCCTGTGACAGACTGGCGACCTGTCCAGGGTGTACCCTGCCTCTCGCCCTATGACAGCTGGGATAGGCTCCAGCACCCCCCGACCCTGAAAAGGATAAGCAGAAGCAAATGGATGGATGGATGGATTTCAGTTGAAATAATTTGATTTCATCCAGAGAATATCTAGTTCAAAACCATGCAAATTACCATGATGGCACTTCGGTCCATTACACTGGAAACAGACATGTCACCCAGAGTGTAAAACAAACTAGTTATTGACGGGTATACAAAACGGACTTTAAATAGAAGAACCAATTTAATTCCACACATACTGTTAAGTGATTCAGTGATTGTGCTTACCAGTGGATGAATGGGATTCCAATTGAAGATGAGTCCTGTTGAGACTAGTAGTAAAACATATGTTATTTTATGACCATAGTCAATGTAGTTGAATTATGTTAACAGCTGTAGGTCATATATTATCCTTTAGTTTAGATGGTGTGCTGTGTATGTAGTTTAGTTCTCATAATACTTTTGAGTTAGAAGAACATATTCACTTATTAGTTTATTAGACAAGTGTGCATCACTCTGTATCCTTGATTTACTGTCAATGTCTCACACTGTGTTATTGACATTGTTTTATTGCTGAATCATGAAGAGAAAGGAGACTTTGTGTCTGGGAGAAGGGAGATAGAGCACATTCCAGACCCCCACCTTTGGTAGGGCAGAAAGAAACAGGGAGCCAAGGTCAGGAGCCAGTCTCGCTAAGAATTAGAAAAACGTGTGAAGATGCAGCTTTTATGACTCGGTGGGGCTGTCAGAAGCTATAAAAGTCTGTGAAAGTTGCTACCATTTTGAGACATGCGGCCGAACCTCTGACCGGCATCTCTCCCGTCCGGACGTTTGAATGCTCTGTATTGTTGAATTGTATGGAAATAAATGATTGTTGATTGAGCATATATACACCGAGTATTGTCCTTCCTTCAGCCAAAGATTCAAAGAATTGGGAGATTTCAAACAGTCCAGAGAATCACCAGTTCATACGTACACACACACACACAACACACACAACACACACACACACACACACACACGTTAGGCCTTCAGCTTCTGAAAAAAAACCACAAGAAAACAATCAATACACGCCCTGAGTTAACCCTACTGCAGAAATACATTGGTGATCTGCAGCTAATAACAGGGCCTCCTTCCAGTGGTGAAACAAAATTAAGAATGACAAATCAATCATGTATCAGAAATCAAACATGCAGACACCAAATAAATTAAATCCTCAGTTTAGAGCAGTTGACCTATTTATTAGTACTGTCCACCAGGACAAAGACAAGTGAGCTTCTGGAAAGCCTGTCTGCCTGCCTGCAGAGGGACATAACAGGCTTTCATATAAACCATATACGTCTCAAACACTATTATAAAAAAGGCGACTTAAAACCAGAGTAATGCACAAAGATCAAACATTGCAGGTCACCGCGAAATTCAAGTCAAGTCTTCTTGGGGACACAATGTTCCTGCTTTTCCGGGCCATCGGGGGAAAACCCCCAAAAGTGATTGATATGTGAAGACTAACATTTTTTTCTAGCTAAAGCTCAGTGATTGTGAGCAGGTGATAAACTGTCGTGCCAACTCTACCTTTTCTGCTTCACATGAACAGATGTGTTTGCCTCCTTAAATGTGTTTGCATGATTTATGCCTCACTGCTCCTCAGAGTTTAAGTTCTTCTGCTACTGAGGGTCTGAACCGTTCGTTCACTCACACTGAAAACTGCATCAGGATGATTTTTCCAATAACTCTGATTATTATGTTCGGTTTTCTGAGTCAGGGTGAGAGATTTTTATTTTGTTTATTTTTTAATTCTGTCTGTGCTGTTCATGTTTCTCTGATTTAAAAAGATCAATTTGTTGTTTTTCATTTCTCAAGACTAAAATCACTTTATTTTTCATTTCAGAGTCGTTTGCCAATAATTTCTGACTCAAACAGATAAAGCCAAGTCTGTCCGTCTTGAGGGACCGTGACCATCAGTGCCACAGGGAGTTCAGATATTGGTGCTGATCTCAGTTGGTACCTTCAGAAACCTGGACAGCCTCCCAAACTTCTTATATACTGGGCATCAAATCGCTTCTCAGGAACTCCGTCTCGTTTCAGTGGCAGTAGATCTGGTTCTCATACACTTTATCCATTAGTGATATTCAGGCGGAAGATGCTGAGATTATTACTGTCTGGGCTTCCATAGTGATGACACATTCACACAGTGGTTTATAGCTGTACAAAAACCTCCTTCAGTCTGGCTGAAGGCTGCAGCTGCAGAGTGTAGGAGAATATCTAGTTCACTAAACACAACATGAATCATCAACCACAAACACAATATATCTAAACAAAACTACACAGCTTTGTAGTTTTAACTCAAATATATATATTTGCTACAGCCTCTAATTGTTTGGCTTAAAGGAACCCAGCATTTAAAACTGCTGCCATTTAATCGCCTTTTAATAATCGTAACATAGTTATTCACAAAGGACAGACTGTAACAGAAGATGACTATGAACCAACCATGCAATGGGCCATTAGATTCAGTCTACTCCCATGAACAAGTTCTAGAAAACTAGAATAATAGGTGTAGGATATCTAAGTCGATCAGCAACAGTAGAAAAGTTTTTACAGAAACCCACAATGCCCAAAAACCAATGCAGCTCACGCCTGGATGAGGGCTGGATATGGCACACATTTTAACATTGGATACCCTTCCTGACGCACCCTTATTCAGGGATTTGTGCTATACACAGTCTTGAGCTACACTGTGGTACAACTATAAGTCATACAGCCAATATATTAAACCACATTAAACCAACCACAAATTGTTGTTAATACTTTACTGGTGTGTTCTCTCATGCACAAAGTTTTAGCTTCATTTCAAATATGAAAACCCACATTGATCAGCACATTAACTGTGTAATGATACTGTGGTCAGAGAGATTGAAGTGAGAAATTGGAGTATACTGTGATAATATACACCAAATGTGTTGTTACATCTACTTTTGTGATGAAAACAAAATGTGTACAGGAAAAGTTAAACTTTCACATCTGTTTGTTTCACTTCCTTTTTGCTACTTAAGACTGACGAACTGTAAATTCCTTTAAAGTGCATCTGTATGAAAATTCATTTTTTCAGTCTAACAGTCTGAATGCCAAAGATTTCAGTCAGAATCCTCAGATAAATTCAGTGTCAGACAGCTAAACACTAGACAGCTATAATATATATTAATAGTGTGAATGACACTATGATAAGACAGAGGAGAGGAGGTCACAAATAGGATAAAGAACATAAAACTTTAAAAATATCTAAAAATTGTATTTCCACATTTACAGTCAATTTAAACTTTAAATCTGTGTGTCAGCTGGATGCTGCCTGTGACCTCCACTCTGCATACTGGCTGCTACATAGGGAGTGGGATTGCAGGAGTATACCTCTTCTTCTTAGCCTCAGGGTGCTGCTGCTGTAGCAGATGTATGTTTGTCTCCATAAATGTGTTTTGCATTCCTATGCCTCACTGCTCCTCAGAGTTTAAATTCTGAGAGTCACTGAGAGTCTGAACTGTTCATTCACTCAAACTGAAAACTGCATCATGATGATGTTTCCAACAACTCTGGTTGTCATATTGGGTTTTCTGAGTCAAGGTGAGAGACTTTGTTTTTTGTTCAAGTTACTCTGACTCTAACTGGTATATTTTATGTTGCTCTCTTGTCTTATTTCAGAGTCATTTGCCAACAATTTTCTGTCTCAGCCTGATAAAGCCAAGTCTGTCATTTTGCGAAGTACAGTGACCATCAGTGCCACAGGAAGTACAAATATTGATAATGCTCTAAGCTGGTACCTTCAGAAACCTGGACAGCCTCCCAAACTTCTTATATACTGGGCATCAAATCACTTCTCAGGAACTCCGTCTCGTTTCAGTGGCAGTAGATCTGGTTCTCAGTACACTTTATCCATCAGTGATATTCAGGCGGAAGATGTTGGAGATTATTACTGTGTGGGCTACCATTATGATGGCACGTTCACACAGTGAATTATAGCTGTACAAAAACCTCCTTCATTCTGCCTGAAAGATGCAGGTGCAGAGTGTTGGACTGCAATGAGAATGACTGGTCCACTAAACACAACACAAGCATCCCCCCACCTCAAATGCACAACACATACAGTACATTAACACAGTAGTGACAACAAAGGTCAAATGTTCTGGATAAATAACCAATCAGAAAATGGTTGAAGTGATAATTTCTGAATTTACTGGATGATACTTTAAGTTTGAATTTCAAAAAACGAATTACATAAAAAACACAATTGCTGGAACTGTTCACAAAACATCAACAGAAAATACTTTTAAAAATGAATATTGATCTCAGACCCTTTGCAAAATGTACATGAAGTCTGAGTTAGCGAATCAATCAATCTATTTGATGCTGTTCATGATTATTCAGATGGAGGCACCAGCAGAAATCTAGAGAGGCTGCAAAGCTCTGCATAAAATATGCACACAAAAAACCCTTCCACTTCTAATTTCTTTACCACTATGTAATGCCACCTGTATTATGAGTGCAGATCTGATCATTTTTAAAAGTATTATATTTTCACCAATTATTTTTGGAAATTTTTTTAAGAGTCTATTTAGGGCTGCTCCTACTTGTGGCCAGTGGCATTAATGTGTACACAGTTCTATGAAATCCAAAATCTAAAACACTTTAATAATATTGTCTTGAATACTGAGAGGAAGGAAAATAAAAAACAACATAATCAATTCATTTCAATGTTGAAACATTAATACTGATGGCAGAGAAGGATGGTGTACAGGCTTGGTATGCCCATATACTGAGGTGTGCTGTCTGGCAGAGACCTCAGTCAGTAAGATCTTGACAATAATCCAAGGGAAGCTGGGGATTTTAAATATGAATGGACCCTTTTGGGTAGTTCATTGTAGAACTCCTATTATAGACATGGTGTTAAGTCCCAAAAGGTTGATTCTGTTCATCTGGACGTAACATTTTCAGTGGGAGAAACGTTTCATCACTCATCCAAGTGACTTCTTCAGTCTCAGCTGACTGCAAGTTTCCCCAACCTTGTAAAACAGTACATTCGCACAATGACTGAAACTAGGCCACTGAATGAACTATGGGCTGTGAGGTCAGTTCCTTGATCATTAATGATCATTAAGATTTACTTACCTGGCTGATGGAGAGCATGCATCAAGACACATGGTGTTAAGCACTTTTCACAACCAGCTGCTGAGATGAAATCGATATATCAGTCTCTAAGTTAATGTTGTCAGCACTCTCACACAAAAGCTTTGGTTTCTTCGACAGACTTTAAACCTATTATTGCTCATGCTCTCCACACTGTGAGCTCCTATCCTGGACTTCAGAAAGCCCCTCCACTGTGCACACTGGCTCTTGCTGAGATTCTGGGGATGATGAGTAAACTGACCCAGGACTATGACAGAATCAAAGTTGCATGATAACCTGATTACCTGAGTTTTAAGTTTAGACTTGAAGGAATTAGGTTGTGCATTGCCCTCTTCTTTTTTAAAAACACACCAAAAATGTCAGTATTTTATATTTTCTACATTTCTAATGTCAGTCCTCCAAGAAGAGGAGTTTAGAAGTTTTAAAATATCTGTAATTGTCTGTCCTTTTGGTATACAACAAAATAAATGCCAGCATCCATCCATCTATTCGCTTCCGCTTATCCTTTTCAGGGTCGCGGGGGGTGCTGGAGCCTATCCCAGCTGTCATAGGGCGAGAGGCAGGGTACACCCTGGACAGGTTGCCAGTCTGTCGCAGGGCCAACACACAGGGACAGACAACCATTCACACTCACATTCACTCGCACATTCACACCTAGTGGCAATTTGGATTATCCAATTAACCTATCCCCACAAGCTGCATGTCTTTGGACAGTGGGAGGAAGCCGGAGTACCCAGAGGCAACCCACGCAAACACGGGGAGAACATGCAAACTCCAGCATTATCTGAGCCAAATAGAGATGTTTGGATGTGGATATATCAGAGACACAATGGGACCCTGTTGGAACAGTTAAACTGGAAACAAGTAAAAAGTTTGCCGACCTTCGGTGCAAAAACAGTAAGCCATAGGAATATTCAAAGTTCAGATTGTTGTTTATGTGTATCTAAGACAGTACAAAACCCAAGGCAGGAAAAGTTGTGGTTATCACAACAATCACGATTGGCTATCATTAGTATCAAACTATTGGCCTATGAGAGGGAAATTCATGTGGCAGGTTAAATGATACTGAATATGTTTATTTTCTTCTTGGCTGGGAACCATGTTGGCTTTTCTGAATTGGAGATGATAGTTTTAAAAAAACAAAAATGTCTTTCAGTCTTTCACTGAAGGCTGTAGGTCCAGAGTGTCGATGAAGAGACTGTGATGAGAATGTCCATTAAACACAACACAAAAAGAGTCATCAAGCAGAAGCACAAAGAATAATAAAAAGTGAAACTCATGGTTTTTACATGAAGGATTAACTTACATTTATCTCATAAGAATTATTGTGCAAGAAATATATATTGCAATGACAACCTTGTGCAATAACCTGTAATTTTCTTACATACTTTAGCCAAAATTAGCTTGCTATTTTTTAATAACAATGGTATTACTGCAGATTCTGAAAATGATATTTTGAATATGAAACAAAAAACAAAAATGATTTTTCATGAGCTGTGATTTTATTTTGTGATGAAGACTTTTTTTTCTTTACAGCATGATTTTAAAGCACAATATGGAAAAGATTAGCTGATGAAATCTGCATGCACATCAACAAGAGTCAAACATCTGCAAAAATATCACAACAGAGGAAACATGTAGCTTCATCAAATTATAAAACACATCATTTGCAGACAGGAAGTGTTGCTGAAGCTCTACTCTGAGCACTGGTCAGTGTTCAAGGTTTGAGTGACGGGGCTCTGTCCACTCAGACTGGCCTCACAGCTCACTGAGCCCGCCTTCTTCCACTGGTCTACAGAGAGGCTCAGGGTGCTGCTCCAGCTGTAGCAGCCGTCTGTCCCCAAGACCTCGAGGCTGGTTGAAACCCCTGAGGATGTGCTGGTGCCCCCCATCTTCCAGTCCAGTGTCCAGTTTGAGGGGAAGCCCCCGGTGGCCAGACACACCACAGTGGCACTACTCTTCTTCTCCTCCTCTTTGGAGGGAGGGAGGATGGTCAAGGTGGGCTGCACCACACCCACTGGAGAAGAGAAATGGGAAGTAGAGAGGGGAAAGGCGTTTACAAAAAAGTTACAATTAAAGCAGGTAAAAACAAGTAGATGAAGCTAAAATAGTAAAAGTAAAATCTTTAAATTATTTTCACAATGTTTTACAGTTAACAACTCATCCCCGTCTTATCCCAGAAATGTTATTCTGTTCATCTGGATGTAGCATTTTCAGTGTGAGAAGCATTTCATCATTCATTCATCCAAATGATTTCTTCAGTTTATTGCAGGTTTCCCCAACCTTAGAAACAGTACATTTGCTTAAAGCATCTTACAATACTGTTATTGCAATTATTCCCCGACTTTCTGCAAATGATTCTCATGGCACTGATCAATGGCAATGACAAGTTGTATATTAATGTTTGTGAAACTGACCTCCTGGCCCATTGTTAGTCAGTGTTGCTGGTCATTATGAAAATGGATTCGTGACAAAATATTTCCCCCACTGAAAACTCTACGTCCAGATGAACAGAATTAACTTTCTTGGATTTCCCTACCTAGATAATTGAGCATGCATCAAGACAACCCTGTGACAATTTCTTAAAGTTAAAGTGACAAAATTAAGACACTTGGGTGACTACGGTAAAAACATTGCCATCTGTTTCTTTCACTTCCTTTAAACTACTTTTGAAATAAATGAACCATAAACACAAAGATGATCTGCATTTACTGATGAATTCAGTTTATATTTTTAGAAGTCTATAAATACACTTTTCAAGTAACAGTTACTTTCAAAATTTAAAAAAAAGATGTTACGTTAAATATTATTCTTTGGTGTTACAGTTTGAAAGAGTTGTAATTCCTATGAACATTTTCATAAGAAAATGCTAAAACAAAATTAGGTCATATTAAAGAGAAATGTAAAAATATAGACAATATATACAATCTATCCATTCGTTCTCTTTCTCTTATCCAGAATATGAAAAGAAAGAGAATGTAATTACATTTTCAGTAAATTAAAATACTGGTAGCAATGAATGAGCGTTGAGCTCAGTCAAGTTCAGAAATTAACTTTGTTTTATAAATCATAAAAATGATCAACAACAATCACTGAACTTATCATATGTCTCTTCAGCATTTTATGAAACACGTTTTAAATGGTTCTATCTGTGCAAAGTAAAAATTTATAGTACTTACAGTCAACGATTAGTTTGGTCCCTCCGCCAAAAGTGTACCACAGTGATACAAACTCATTAAGTGGCCGTACAAAAACCTCCTGAACATGAAACTCATTGCTCAAAATCACTTTCATGTTCAGAATCACTCAATACTTTCTTATAAATGACCAAAATGCATACCTTATGTTATATTAAAGTTTTTAATGACATGGTTTAGAAATTATTTTTTTTATTTTTTTATGTATTTACCAATTTTGTTAGTTCTACATTTCTACAGCTGAAAATGACCGAACTGCAATTGAAAAGTGTCATATTCTCACGTCTAAGTAAATTGAAACACAAACAATTGTTGAAATAAAATTAACATCATGCCATAAAATCCTATTAATCTTCAATATGTCCTGTAAGCAACTTAAATCCAGGGGAAAAAATTTATAAAATACAGAATGGAACAAAACTTTACCTGCTCTTCTTTTGCTCTAATCTTTTGTTATAATCCATTATCATCATATTTAGTGTAAATCTATGAAGAGTTTCTTCTCATTATTTGTAACTTGTCTTCTGTGTGCTGAGACTAGAAAAAATAGTTTCTATAGAGGGGAAGGTTTGCATCTTCAGCTGATCCTCCAGAGAACTGAGAAGGTTTATAGTCCTGTGAGTTCAACACTG